GTCTCGCATACTGATAACCATGCCACCGTGCTCGGGAAGACACAGCATGGGCGCAACGATTTCTCTGGCCCTCGGGTTTCTCATAGGTCTTAACCACCGATCTGCAAGTATTTCATGGAACTCGGGGTCGACGGTGAGTGTATCTATAAGGCAGAGCTTCACTGTTCCGAAGTTTGGCTCTGAGTTTTTCTTGTAATGCCGTGTCGCCATTGGATCTTGCTGGTAATTGTAAGCGGCAATCTTCAACCCCGGGTAGTCTGCAGCCATGATGGTTGCCCTATATTTCGTGATAAGGTGGGCATAGAGACCCGGCGTCTCGACTGCACGGTCCTCTAGCCAGACAGTAGTATGACCACCATATACGGTCATCAAGACGCCGATAATCATACCAATGCCTTGTCGAGGGTCGAGGTAGCTGATGATCGTTTCACCGCGCGGCCGAGCCATACCCGAGGACATAGGTACAGTTGAAACAATTGCGCTGAGGCAAGCCATTTGATGCATGATTGTCCGGTGGCTCATGACGACACCGCGGAGGTCGCCGGTTGGCGCCCTGGCGAATTCAATATACGCCAGATCTGGAACCACAAGGGGTGGGGTATCGTCCTTCTTCTTTGGATGATAGCTGCCAAATTCATTGGTCTTCCACCACTCTACTCCCCGGGGCCAATTTAGCTTCTGGGCCGTGATGTCTCTCTGGAAACTTTTTAGGTTATTCTCTGTCGTTAATGCCAGATGTGCTTGAGTTGAGGTAAGAACCAGGTTGAGACTCTGGTAGTCCTCAAGACTATTGATGGGGACAGCAACGACGCCGGCGATGAAACAACCCATCAGTGCGACAGCAAATTCGATGACCTCAGAATCCCGGTAAATCAACGCCACGCGATCACCACGATAGAGGTTGCTTTTATCACGAATGACCTGCGCCACCTTTTCAGCGCGACTGGCTAGTTTTTCCCATGTGATGGAAGCAATTTCTTTGCCCTTTTGGTCCAATACCCAATATGCGGGCTGCTTTCCATGTATCCGCGCTCGATGCCGGAGAACGGCGGGAATGTTGTCGAAGTTCGACATTGGCGTATTCTTGTCATGAGGATCCTGTACGGAAAATGGAATGTCGCGAGGCTCCAGTGGTTGAAGGTGAGCAAGTGCCGGTCCATGAGCGAGTTCAGAAGCGGGGATCAACGGCGGTGCCATATTCGCCGTAGGGGAGAACGTATCCGACTGAGAGTAGCGGTGAAAGCCACCACCGTAGCTATCCCTATAATCATCTTGCTGTTGGCCGGCAAAATCAGAGAAAAACCCCTGCTGGGAGTCGAGCATTGTCGACTGTCGCGTGACTCCACCTGGCGGCATATCATAGGCTCCGATAGGCTCTTCGTAGGCATCGTGGTGATAGCCGGGGTTAAATGCATAGTTTTGGCTCAGAAGTGTGGCTGTACGTGAGCTCTCTTGCATGGGAGGTGCAGGTTTGTTCTTCGGCAGAAAAAGTGAATCGTAGGAGGCTGCCGAGGGGGCTCGATCAGCGGGCAGCAGCATGCTCTCTCTATCATATGAGCCCTGTGTATCCCCACTAACCCTGCGCTCATATCCGAGACTTCCGTTGTTGTAACTATCACGCCCATTGGCAAAGGACTGCGACGAGTCGCCCAGGGTTGTGGACTCCGCCGTTGGGGGTCGGACGTTGAGGATGGCTTGTGGAGGATGGGTTGAGCTTGTGAGTGATGAAGTTCCATCCCTTGACGTGGGTGCGCCGAAATCCAGCTTCATATTAGGGCCAAAGAACTGCGACAGGAGAACGGTGCGCCGTTTCTGGTATCTTGAAACTAAGTTAGTCCCAACCGTCTATTGGTATATATATTTGAGCCGCCCGCACGGGCGATCAGGTAGACCATTTGCTAGGGCTAAAGTTTCACACTCAAATCGATAGTTTGTCTGAATACAGATAAAGACGAGTTTGCTTACCCCTTCTCCGTAATATCACCTTCCTGATAAGCAGTGAAAGGTTAGTTGGATCTGTCCACAGAACCGCGAATCTGCGGGGTAAAACTATAGGTTGCCAGGATTGCTTCCATACCTCCAATTCTTTATCAAGGTCGCGCAGAGCGGCGTGAAGCTCGGGATTATCGTCCGCCATGATTGCAGAAGCGTTGAGGGTAGACAAATCGAGGGGCTTTCATTCGAAGGCTCGGGGATGCTGAACGGCCAGGGTAAACGGCACCCTCATTGCAGGGTCCTTTAGGAGGGGGGGGGAAAAGAGGGAGGGGTCAGAAAGAGGCTGAGAGGGGGAACGAGAGACTTCGGAGAGTCGAGCAGCCCCTTGCGATGTCCCAGTAGATGGATGGGGAATCCGGGAGTTTGTCTTGTCGCTTCTCCGCGCCTGATGAGCCACAACGTCACCTGCCGCGGCGGCTAGGGCCGGTGAGGCGGGCCGGGCACGCAGAATGTGCAGCCAATCACATGCTCAGATGGACGTGCACCGCCACGCGTCAGGAGGAGAAAGAGCAAACAATCTCCGGCATCCGGAGAGCACGAGGATCGTCCGCTTCACACCACGAACAGGTGGATGTCGACGGTCTGCACCATCCTTCTGGTACTCGGACCTGAAATGACAGCGTTACACCTCATTCCCACATATCTCATCCATCCAATCTGACTCGGGAATATGTCTCGCTACGCCCCTGTGTGTTACTTGATTATCCCGTTTGTGCCTGATATCTTACGCCCTCGGTAGCACAAGCCAGTGTGCCTATTTTTATTCGATATCCTCCGCAAGCCCGCTAATAACGCTCCAGCTGTCGCCGCTTTAGCGGCAAACCAAAATTTGGTGCAAGAGCGGTTGTGGACATCGTGCTAAAAACACTTAGCTTCTTTAAATGAATAACTAAACTATGATGGTGCCATTAAGACACCTGGGTAGATGAGGCCATCATGATCTCTCATATCCACTACGCGTGCTAACCACCTTCGAATGTTCGACCGACGACGCTATCTCCATCCTCGGTATTGAAGACTCCGAAATCAAAAGAGAGTCTCCGCTGTACTATTGGCTTGTCAGCCCGTGGTGGGGTCGTCTACTGCTGTTGGTCCCGGCGCCAAGGTTCTCTCAACATCAACGTAGGGCAAAAAAAGGAGTATGATCATCCAAGTTCATGTCATTCACTTACCTTTTTATGATGGTCAAAGGATATGCCTAAGCCGTATGCCAAGAGTACTCAGGTTCTCTATCCAGATAATGATCAGAGAACTCCCCTTGCTACTAAAGCAGACCGGAGACATTATTACTGATCGAATATAAGGAGAGAAGCAGCTGGAGACAATAACGGGAGCTCAGCTATGCAAAGGTGCCACTCTTTATGCTGGTGACAGCTTAAGGAAAAGTCTTTATTCAAAGATTTCGGGCCGCATTTCTCGCTTGTGGGTCTCGGCAATATTGAAGAGTTTACGGAAAGGATTGATCGTTTTGCGTAAGAAGTTGTCAAGCTTGCTCATGTGATGCATTCTCTCAGTACTATTATGCCTAGGCAACAGATCTAGCCCGTTTTCCACACTTAGCTGATCATAATCTTCAGAGTCATGCGAGAGACAGAAGGGCAGTTAATCTAAAGCTGTCCTGATATGAAGATCAATCGAAGCCATCTAGCTTGTCCTTTCACAGGAGGCTCTTGGGCTAACTACTTCATATGTATAATACTTGAATCAGTATATCTTTATCGAAACAAAGCCGTTAATGGAGGATAAGTCATTCTTGATATACTTCTGTTTTATTGGTGTTCCCCCGGGGATACACGACCTCACAAGTGCAATGCATGTCACTATACAGAAAGAAGTCGGGGAACAGTGCATGTAATAGCGTTCCAGCTTCAGAGTTGCATTCATTGATCGAAAATTCATATCAGAGTGAAAAATTCATCATACTACTAATGTTGAGCCGAGCTGCTGAGAGCAGGATACGGGTTCCCAGAAGGCCCACCCACATAGCAGGCGGCATGCGCGACCCAGCTTTGAATGTTATGTTTCATCAGGTAGTTTCATGACCAGTAACTAGTAGGACTAGATAAGTGAAGTAATAACAACACTTTAACACCTGCCGCAGTTCCCTGAATTGTTCGCATCTAATTAAGATAATAGTATGTCTTCTCGGGCCCCTAGGCTTTACTGTACGCTCTGATATATCACTATATTTAGCACCTATATAGGTGAAAACATTGTACTGGAATCACGAATAGGACATGTCTTGTCCAAGCAATGTGATAAGCATCTTGTGTGCTTTATATTTTTTGCTTTCCATAATGCGCTATGCAAACTAGCCTATATGAGGCGAGGCGTCCGATAAATTCAGAGATAAACCATTGTTGCGTATCTGCATAATACAGAGAAGTCAACGGAAAACATCTAGTGCACATTGAGACCCCTTGTGGGTGTATGGCTTGAATAAAAAATGGAGGCGGAGAGTCAAAGTGAGCGCCAAATACTTGCGCTCTCCCTCAAAGCCGGTTAGATGTCGTGCAACGCTTACTATCTCGAAGTAAACGATGTCTCTGAATGCATATAGATAGGCCGGGAAATTTTCAACATAGTCCGTAAACCATGGCTGAAGATGAGAATTTGATAAACAGCTGATTCGGTGTCCAAGATATCCTTCGTCAAGATGGACAATTCGAACAAACTGGACTAGCGTAAGTGATGACAACGTAACCTTATTGCTTGGAACTCCGCTTCGTTGCATACAAAAGTATGCTCACTTTTTGAAAGTATCCGGCAGAAGACTGATGACTGTCTAAGATTGCATCTAGATCCATGTATGATATGGCGGGTTGGAAGCGGAGCATTGGTGAACAGTATTGTAGGGGCATCCAGCGCTAGTCCTAGTTTGGGATAGGGTGCCAGAATCCAGATGTGACCATCACATGACACCACCCGCGCCATTGGCGGTCAGTCCTGCCCTAACCCACCACCCGCTAAGCGAGGCGCACCTCGAATTTCCTTGCGCTCAGCGACACATTTCAGCCGCCCGACTGTATTCGTCGACGTTGAAGGATCACCAACGACACCGTCCGCCACCTACACGTATCCCTCCCTCGGCAACAGGTGCATACGTCGACCAAAATGTCTGAACACGGCGAAGTCGAGGTCGAAAACCCCGCTGCGGCCTTCCAGGTCCTGCCCAAGGAGGCTATCGCGGAGATGGGATCCGTGAAGCTGTTCAACAAGTGGAGCTACGAGGATGTTGAGATCAGGGACATCTCCTTGACGTAGGTGCTCCCCAATTCATCGCGATTTTGATTGTTCTACGAGCATGGGTTTTGTGTCGACGGGTGGAAAACGCCATTATCTGTTGGGAGACAATGGACTCGACATGCACGGAGGAAAACGCACGACAAAAATGGGATATCTGCGAAGGGATTCACGATGGAAAAAAAATTTTGCGAATTGGCACAGAAACGAGATATGCTGACTCGGCTTCACCTTCAATAGCGACTACGTCCAGATCCGCTCCCCTGTCTACCTTCCTCACTCCGCTGGCCGCTATGCTGCCAAGCGTTTCCGCAAGGCTCAGTGCCCCATCATCGAGCGCCTGACCAACTCCCTCATGATGAACGGCCGCAACAACGGAAAGAAGCTCATGGCTGTCCGCATCGTTGCCCACGCCTTCGAGATCGTACGTCACCTCTCATATTCTCCAATGCCTTCTGCACGCAGAACGGCTAGGGAACGCAAACCACAGAACCAGACACGGAAAACTAACCGGGTAATCCTTTGTAGATCCACATCATGACCGACCAGAACCCTCTCCAGGTCGCCGTTGACGCTATCGTCAACTGCGGTCCTCGCGAAGACAGCACCCGTATCGGTTCCGCTGGTACCGTCCGTCGTCAGGCCGTCGATGTGTCTCCCCTCCGCCGTGTCAACCAGGCTATTGCCCTCTTGACCATCGGTGCTCGCGAGGCCTCTTTCCGTAACATCAAGAGCATTGCTGAGTGCCTGGCTGAAGAGCTCATCAACGCCGCCAAGGGTTCCTCCAACTCCTACGCCATCAAGAAGAAGGACGAGCTCGAGCGTGTTGCCAAGTCCAACCGGTAAAGTGGGAATTTTGGGCGTATTCTCCGTTTGGTCCTGGTTTTGCGTGTACTGGAGTGGACGGGGGGTTTATTAGGATTCAGTCGATTTGCATGCATCTGCGCGACTGTACATACCTGAAAACAGTCACGGGAGGGAGCGAGATCCTAAAAATGAGAGAATCGGACGGCTTTCTTCTACAGTAGTTGAGATGCGATCATGAAGACCTCTGGCTTGTGAAGTCAATACCTTTATCTATTTTTTTACACGAAAAAGATTTCCCTGTTTCAACCATCGTTCCCCTGCCACCTCCGATGTGGCGACGAACTACGCAAACGTAGACTCAAAACACCTTCATGAACATGTCAAGGAGCACAGAGAAAGTGTTCTAGATTCCCAGTAGATTACAACCCGTAAACGCTTTATATTGCAGAGACCATGATAATCAGAGTCCCTGTGCAGAAGTGCCCGTGCTGGCAAGTCCCAAGGACTGGCTGCGGCTTATCGATAGGCCAGACCCGTCGCTGCGAAAAAAAAATGTTCGGGGCTCTGTTATCGGCCCTGGCAACCGTCGCCCGCCTTTCTTTTCCCTCAACCACCCACTTCATCCCCTCGGTTTCACCACTATAATACGCAAAGATGGTGAAAAGAAAGTTGGGAGCCTTGGAAAAGGTCGAGGCTGATCTGTAAGTGATCTTATACCGTCGCTGTGTGGCTACGGACCCCCTCCCCAAGACGAAGAATTTCGCCTGTCGCTAACTCACTGCTTCTCATAGGCCCAACCTGCAGCACAAGATTCGGAGAGATCCCAAGTATGTGTTACTATGAACAATGCGATTAGATGCCAATAATATCAGAATGGCTTGCTAACTGTCGCTTACTGGTGAAGATCCTACATTGAAGACTTCCGCGCTCAGCACTACCAATATGAGAGTCACCGGGAAATTTTCATGACCGCGCCTTCGTCGACCACAGAGACGGGTCTGATATCTCTTCGAGAATTGATCGACTTCATTGCTCATGTGGCCGACTGCTATCCCGAGATTACGAAGGACTTTCCTCAGCAGCTCATGGATATCTTGAGCCAGCACCATCTGATCCTTCAGCCGGAGTTGCGCGAAAAGATCGTCGGTAGCTTGGTGCTTCTGAGGAAGAAGGAATTGTTGGACTCGGCGACGTACGTTTATCCATGGACTGCCAGATGCGCATGTGGCTGGTTGCTAATTGGCATCATATCTCCAGATTGCTTCAGACTCTGTTCCCTATCCTTATTTCCACCCCCAGCAAGACCCTACGAGCTCTGATCTTCCAAAAGATCCTCATGGATCTTCGTCAGGCCAATGCGAAGACCACGAACCACAAGCTTAACCGCACCATGCAGACCGTCCTGTTCAACTTGGTGACGTCGGACAGGACTTCTTCTAAGGGCCTTTGGGCTATCAAGCTTACGCGCGAACTGTGGAAGCGCCAGATCTGGACCGATGCCAAGGCTGTTGAGGTCATGAAGGAAGCCAGTCTGGCATCGAACGAAAAAGTCATCGTTGGCGGTGTTCGCTTCTTCTTGGGTGGTGACAAAGAGCGCGAGGAAATGGAAGATGAGAGCAGTGACGAAGAAGCCATTGACTTGGGGCGAGTAAAGCATCAAGTCGGCATCAACAAGAAGACCAGAAAGAAGTCCCGTGCGGTCGAGAAGGCCAAGGCAACCGTAAAGAGGAGGGAGCGCAAGAAGAACCAGCCGCATCCTCTGAACTTCTCCGCTTTGCATCTTCTCCACGACCCCCAGGGCTACGCCGAGTCCTTGTTCTCGAAGCATTTGCAGAGCACCAAGTCCAAGCTCAACTTGGATCAAAAGCTCATGGTGCTCCAGCTGGTGACCCGCCTTGTCGGATTGCATAAACTGCATATCATGCACCTCTACTCCTACTTCCAGAAATTCCTGACTCCCCGTCAGCCATCCGTCACGTCGTTCTTGGCTTCGCTGGCGCAAGCGTCACACGACTTGGTCCCCCCGGATGACCTGGAGCCCTTGGTTCAGAAGATCGCAAATGAGTTCGTCTCGGAAGCCTCTGCGTCTGAGGTCGCATCGGCCGGTCTTAACGCTATCCGAGAGATTTGCGCACGACAGCCACTCGCCATGAATGAGACCTTGTTGCAGGATCTTGTTATGTACCGTAAGAGTAAGGATAAGGGTGTCATGATGGCGGGTCGAGGTCTGCTCAGTCTGTTCCGGGAGGTCAACCCTGAGATGCTCAAGAGACGGGACCGCGGCAAGGACGCTTCCATCGGCCTTAAGGCTGGAGAGAGGAAAGAGAAGCGCTTCGCGGAACAAGAGGCCGGTGGCATTGAGGGTCTGGAGCTCCTGGAGAAATGGAAGGAGGAGGAGCGCCGGAAGAGGAGAGCTGAGAAGGGCTTGGCTTCTGATGCTTCTGATGATGAGGAGGAAGGCGAGGAGGACAACTGGGCATCCTGGAATGTGGAAGATGATGAGGACAGCGACGACTCGGGCGACTGGATCAATGTGCAGAGCGACGCTGAAATCGACATCAGCGATTCCGAGGACGAGAAAGACGGACCTCCCGCCAAGAAGGCCAAGTCCAGTGAAAGCAGCAGTGATGATAAGGCGGAGAAGAAGGAAGAAGAGAAGGAAGAGTCTGCTGAGGCCAAGTTCTCCAAGCTTGCAACGACTCGCATTCTCACCCCGGCTGACCTGGCTAAGCTCCAAGAGCTGCGCACTGAAGCCGCCATCAACTCACTCGTGCCAGGCGCGAAGAAGCGTGATCGTGACGATCCTCTGACGGCCGAAGAGATCGAGGGCCTGGCTGCTCTCTCTGCCGGCAAGGCCACGCGCGAGGAGCGGATTGCTCATGCCAAGGAAGGCAAGACTGATCGGTCTGAGCATAAGAGTATAACGGCCAAGCGCAAGGAGCGCAAGCAGGATCAGGGCAAGAGTACGACCAACAAGGAGAAGGCGCGCAAGAAGAACTTCTTGATGACCCTGGGTAAGGCCAAGAGCAAGAACAAGCGGAGTTTGGTGCAAACCCGCGCCGTTCTCAAGGCTCATCATGATCGGGCCAAGCGGGGAGGTCGCAGAGGAAACATTGGTTAAGGTATATATGGTGATACCCTATCGTAGATCTATTGTTTCGTTCCATGTTCTAGTTACTGTTGTATCATCGAGCCTCTTGGTTCATCTCCTTTGGATGTCCTAAAAAGCGTGCCTTTTTGTATATAGAGCTCTTCTGCAATGACCGAACTATTAGACATGTTCTAGTAACTATCTGCACTCCCCACAGTGCTAGTAGGATGTACTCCGTACTTCAAAGACTATCTCAAATATTCTATGTGCACTTCCATCAAATCCATGAAATATGGAGTAGTTCCATGTCAGGCCCAAAGAGGATAAATTGACAAGTGACACGTGCCGGGCGCGTCGTGGCGCGTCGCGTTCCGTGCCTCAGGTTCTTTCCCTCCCCAGCCTCTTTCTTTTCTCTTCCTTTCCTCTTCTACTATTAGAGATTCTATTCTCCCCCTCTCCCCTCCACAGCCCTTGCATTTTCTCTTAATACATCGCACATTCCGAACTATATTTCCTGTCAAATCAGAAGCCGTCCTTTTAGACCTAAGTGGTCCCCCACGAGCATACAAACAGACTAGACCACTACAACTTCTCCACTCCCCGCATAGACAAAAGTCCCGTCTGTCTCTATCCAATTCAGTCCAACATGCCCCCTTCCCTCCAGTCCCCCACCACCATCAAGGCCTCCGACCTGGCCTCCAAACGCAGGCGCTTTCAGCCACCAATCACTAGCTTCTTCTCAACTACATCTACACCTCCCTCAGAAGACAATGACAACGTGACCACCGACCGCACCCACCACCTCTCTCACAACCACTACTCCGCCGCAACCTGCTCCCCCACCCCCATCGTCCCCACCAAAGTCCAAGCCTCCCTCCTCTCCGTCGGCATGCGCGTTCGCAAATCCGTCGCAGAGGGCTACAAGACTCGTTTGGCGAAGCCCGACCCCAGTTTCTCCGAGCTGGCTCCCTACAGCGGCATGCGCAGTCATTCCGCACCCATGAACCTTATCACCGATGACGAAGGCGACGCTTTCTCCCTCCCCTCCAGCAGTCAGGAGTCCAACGCCGGTGGTCAGAAACGCTCTTATGACATGGACTTTGACCTCGACGATAGTGAGGACGATGACGTTGCTGCTTCGGGTTTGGATCTATCTACACACAATGCTACTCTCATGGGCCGAACCATCCTTGCGCCCAAGTTGAATCAGCAGCGAAGACGGTTCGTGGCGCTGCGTAAACATGCCACTATCTCTGAGGGCATGGGTATGGATATTGATGACTTTGAGGAGGCTTCCTTCTTGCGCAGTCGCGAGGAGGTAGATACGGAGTATGGCTCTGTGAGTCGAAGCTCGGAGATTGAAATGGGTGGGATCTAAACGTGTTGTTACTATTGCTTGGGGGTTTATTTTTTTCCCATTATTTCTCTCGTCGTTTCTGGAATATCTTGTTAGCCGGAGTTAACGTGGGTTGGGCTGGATTTGGGTGGTTGTACTATTATCTGTTGTGCTTTCCGTTTGCGTGCAATGTTCCTTGGGGACACAGAGTGCCATAGGCTGGTTCTATGTGCTGGAAGACAAGCCGGATGGATGATTTGATGCATCATGCATACTGTTCCTTATTTCTCCCGTTGTGTTTCTTTGCCCTGTCTGTCTGTCTAATTTTCTATGCATATTCTTACTCGACCTCTGCTTGCTCTACATGCCTGTTGTTTGTTATCAAGCACCCTGTACATATAACCCGATTGCGATGACTCTACCTGTTCAACCTTCCTTGTTAGGCTAATACAATAGCCAGCACCCATGCAGCAGACCTGAATCCGAACTGCCTGAATAATAAATCAAAGAAACTTCCACAAAATTATGAATGAACAGTCAAGTCAATTCTATCTATAGTAGTATAGTTTACATAACACCGACCAATAATCCCCCGACGGGGACTTCCTCAATCAGCGTGTAAATGAATTCATCACATCACAACAAGAAAAACAACGAAAGT